AAGGGACATAAGTAGCAAAATAACAACAAAAGAGAAGATATTCCGCCGAATTAGGAGAGTCTTCAATCGTGAGAATTTACGCGGTACAAATGTACTAGATGATTGGCCATCCTAAGCCAGCAATCGACTGGTCATCTATCCGCGCTAAGGCGTTGTTCAACCTGACAATCGAGTAGCACGCGGTGTCCAATGACTCCAACGATGTTCTTATGACTTATGCTTATATAATGTGTCTTTATATGGTTATTTCCCGCGTGATGGCGATACATTTGTAATGCTAGATACCTGATACCTATACAAAGTATCTCAAAACAACCTTCAAAGCTCTCATGTGGTAGTACAGATTGAGATAAACATAAAATTTCTATACCGTTTTGTGATATTCGTAATAATTATTATCGAGATATTAATTAAAGAAGATTTGTGAATGATAACGCCAGATATGGTGAATGAATGTACTAAAAAAAAAAATAATTTTAATAGAAGTGGAATTCTCTCTAAATCTTAGAGGATTTTACTCTTATATATGGCCTTAAGAGGATTGCTTTGAAATCAAGAGAAAAATAATCTTAAACACAATTCTTAAAGATAGAGGAATTTCATATTGAATGTACAATGCAAATCTATTTTTTCTTAATCTAAATTTTCTCTTATATATTTTACTTCAACTCAAAAATATTTCTTTGGGTTTAATAAATTTTATCGCAGAAAGAAAGATCAGAAAACTTTGACCAGGCGTGCTTGTGTGTATCTGTATATGTCCACTTCAATGCCATATAAGATGAAAAACAGCAGACTCTGCTGGGATCGAACCCAGGTTCTTTCTTCCGCTTGTCAGGCAACCGCTCTTTCCACTGAGCTATTTAAGACTTCATGTTTGTGACATCTATATACCCAGTGAAAAATGACTCGTTGATTAACGTTAAAATGATATCAAACTGACGTCGGTTTGACGATTTCAACATCGATTTGATTGAAACGTCGACAGTGAATTGACGATGGAAGCTCTAAGTGTGGCGCTTGGTTTCAACCAATCATACACGACAGTACGCAGCGAAACAACAGTTCTTCGCGTCTCTCGTACTGCACGTAAGACGGCATTGTACTTCCAAGTAACACATTCCTCTTGATATAAAAGGAACACAATCTGAATAATATCTCATAAATGCACGATGAGTGGTTTCCTTTAATGAAAGATGAATATGCTTTCTGTAAGATATTTCTTTTCGAACATAGGGTTAGAGGAAAATTTACTTTGTACGTAGAATAATTTTTTTAGGTGTGGTAGTGGCAATGTTTGCCATCATGTGCTTGTATACTAGGTCAAACTAAATAAAAAGTCTTGTATTATTTTACTGATAACTTTGTTAGATTTTTTACTATTAACTACAGAAGATAGTTCAGATTACCGGATGATCGTTCGCGATAATATATTAATGTTAATTAATAACTACTATATATCGTACCATACTATGCCTTCACGAAAGCTTTGAAGGTTATCCTGGGACACCCTGTATATATCAGAGATGTATATAGAAAGCTTTGTATTTCCTGAACAGAAATATCATGAGTTATATTTCCAATCGAATCACTATATTTATTATTATCTCATGCATCCCGTATATTGTGTTAATACACCGGGAAAGATACCTCCTATCAGCGAGTAACTCGAAATATCATTTCCATTTAAAAAGTACCTTGAGTTTGAAAATATTACGCGATATATAGTTAAGAGTGTATATATTTTCCAATATGTACTCAGGCTAATATATTACATAGAAATATTCTAAATATTTGACTATTATCTGAATATTCTGTGAACATTTCTTTATTATTATGCTGTATATGGAACTTTTGTAGTACGAACGGAATATTTCAAGAATATCTAACCTTTTTACTGGGAAATAATTCATTATATTTTTAGTTGATATTTATAGATGTTATATAGATATCTATAGATGTTTTATATTATGTCTATAAAAGATCTTATATATGTCCGCAAAAAGTCTAGATTAAATATACGGTGTATATCTAATGAACATCCATTAGTGTTCATTAGATATCTATCATAGATGTAATATGGACGTCCATTAGACATTCACCACAGAAATAGATGTCTAGCTATGGATATTCTATGGACATCTAATGAAGTTTGTGTGTTCCATATGGGACGCAATGTTATGTTATTCTCTTTAATTATATATATATATATATATATATATATATATATATATATATATATATATATATATATAT